GTGCACCTGTTTTGCCTTTTGTCAAGAAATTTTTATTGATGATAATTGTTGCAGTTATCACATTTTTATGAAAGAGATCAGGTGTTTTAGAATCTTCTAGAATGTCCATCAGGATTGCCCAGCACCTTCTGATCAGCCCCAAGTGAACTCTTCCTCTGATAAGGACCACCAAGGCATTTGAGGGAAGGGCAGTCACAATGACTAAGGCACACAGTGACTCGGGAACACTGGGAAGTGTGCTGGCTCAGGACTTGCCTCTCAGTGTCCTCGGCTTCTTTTGTGGTCAGACTGATTTTGGAAGGGGTGCGTGCCCTTGCTTTTTAGGATGTTTAAGTAATCAGAACAGCACAGTCCAGGGGAGCTGGTGTGCCTACTTCAACATGAAAAAGTCTGAAAACCTTAGGAGTAAATCCGTTGTTCATGCCTGCTGGGCCAGGTACAGGGGACTAAAACAAACCAGGCTATTTCCACCTTCCCCTTGAATGGAGTATGAAATATCAGAGGCAGGTAACCTGGCAGCACAGGGGGTGATTTTCCTCTGAAAAGAGCAGGCTACAGAAGATGGTAATATTTTCCCTTAAATAGATGGCTAGCCCCCTATAAGAGAGTGGGTGTTTGGATTGTTTTATAGATCATAGAGAATAGAGAGTTTTGCAAAGGATTGACTAGCATCCCACACTAACTGCTCAGATTCATTTAATTAGAGTTCTTTGCAGCCTGGTGTACAAACAGGTTGGGAGTCATCCATGAACAAGGACCACCTTAGAAAGAAGCAGTGCATCAAAAATGAGCTTGATTGCTGAATATAACATTTTTCTCTTTTTAACTCTGGCTTACTGGAAACTAACACGCAGTCTTAAAATTTCAGCCATGTCGGAATACATTTATCTCAGTTTAAAGGTGCCTGAGGTATCTTGGCATGCAATTTTGCTTTCATGAAGTATGAGTTATAGCTGTCCCATTCAGAGTGTCCAGAATCCTGGTGAACTCTTAATTAGAATGTGAAGGGTCTGTCAAAACTCGAGATTCTTTTCTGCCCTGAAAACTGATGCCAGGGCTAGAGACATGGCCCAGTGGATAAACACCCTTATCATGTGGGCAAGCATGAGGGGATGAATTTGAATCCCTAAAAGCCGTGTGAAAGCTGGATGCACAGCATGAGCACCAAGAGAGGTGGGAAGTGGCAATGAGACCCCTGGGAAGCTTGCAGGAGAGCCACCCTGTCATACGCAATGGCAAGCCAACCCACAGAGATTCTGTCTCAAACAGGCAGAAAGTAAGGGACATCACCGGGAGTTGTCTTCAGACCTCCAAATGCACACCCATATTCATGCACACTAATATGTGCACGGGTGCACACACACACACACACACATACACACACCACATGAGGGGGCAGCAATGCTACAGAACAGGTACTCAGCATGACATGATTTGTGAGGGAAACATTCTATTTCCCACTCAGACTGTGTGTTGCTATGAAACCATCTAAAACCTGTTCAGATATTGTTGAATTTTAAAAGTGACCTAGCATGAGCTTCCCAAACAACCAAGCAGAATTAGGAGTCTACTGTGGTATGGAGCCAGCCCATTCTCACTACCTACCACATGTATGTTTTTTGTTTGAGGATTTGGTTGGTAGACAGGGACCTGGTTGCCGCCCATGTGTGGGCTGATGTTAATCACCATGTCTTTCATCAGAATACTTTTTGAAGTTATTCATTAGAAATTTTATGTAGTCATAGTATTTATAGCCTAGAGAAAAGGAAATAAGGCTTTAACCAAGGAACTTGCTGCTGATTCTTATAAATGCACTGTGGGTCTGGGGAATATTGTGTTGTGCTTGCAAAACATGCACAAGGCCCTGGGGTTGATCCCTAGCACTAGGAAACCAGGGAGGAAGGGAGAGGAGGGTAAAAGGAGAGAGGGAAATAAAAGGAAGACAGGTACTGTGACCCATTTTGATACACATGAAAATATGTACATAATGAATATAATTATATATGTTAATGTACACCATAAATGTTTATAGAAATAAAGCTTTTATGGAATGGACTTAAGCTTTTCCTTATTACTTAAATTGCCATCAAATATTTTCATTTCAATCATATTTCCTAAGAAGCTATAGAGATTACTAAACTGGTTTCATGGCTCATAGACTGAATGCACTGAGCTGAGCAGCCTGTCCGTGTCCACCAGTGGATGACTGCAGCATCATTGTAAGTGGGAGAGATACTTAAAATGATGCTGTATTTGACCTCCCAGTTAACATGAAGAATTATACATCCGGTGGTTCATTTGGTCAGGCCAATTTGTTGCGAAATGACCTTTCCTTAAATTGCATTTGCTGAAGGCATGACTAATAGTCCTTTATTGTATTAAAGGCTCAACAAAAATCAGTTGCTAGATGGATGGACATGTTTTACTCTTTGACATTACATTATTTGAAATGTCAATAGCAATTTACCTTATGGTACCATAAATGGAGGAATACATACTTGTAGGCTAGATCTCTAGGAGCTAGCGCCACACCTTGGCTGTGTTGTTTCACACACATATATGTATATGTCGTGATATGTAAGTAAAGCCTTTATGTCCAGCTTTAAGTGACATGTTTAGTAGAGTCTTTGTGTCTGACTTGGGAAGAAATGTTTCAACAAAGTCTTTGCTATGTTTGAGTTAATCAATCGAGGCTAAGAAATTTTTTGAGACCATTTGAACCTTGGAGAAATGTCTCTCTGAAGACTCTGCACTTGGTGCTATAAGAGAGCTTGCATCCGCACTGACCTTGGTTCTAAGACACTCCTGGCAGCCCTGGCTAAACACTCCCGGCTAGCCATCGTCGAAAGGGACTGAGATCTGTGTGGGTTGTCTGCTTTCATGGGCAGCAAGAGCAAGATAACTTTGTTAGCTGGAACATTTCACAGCCTCATCTAACCGTTTATGTTTGAATAAAGTAACTAGAGTGAGCTAGCTGGTTGTCAGTGTTTTCCAAGAAAGCTGAACCCCTCTGCTTCATCGGAAAATGGAGGCTTAGCATCTTGGTGAGCTTCTCTACCTACTGCGGTACCTACAACTCAACATCAAACAATATGTATATATGTATATGCATATATATGTGTTTGCGTGTGATATGTGTATGTGTGTATTGTATATATTATATATTTGCATAAACATATATATTCATTTTTTCAAGGCAGGGTTTCTCTGTAGCCTTGGCTGTCCTGGAACTTGCTCTGTAAATCAAGCTGGACTCAAACTCACAGAGACCTTTCTGCCTCTGCCTCCCGAATGCTAGGATTAAAAGTGTGTACCACCACAACCTGGCCTAAAACAATAAATTTAAGATAATAGTTTGAAGCATATATAAGTAATACTTTCTGAGGCAGTTGTTCCAAAATTTAGAGCCAATATTTTTTGAAGTTAGAATGAAATCTATGATTTGTCTACCAGAGTAGACAAATTTTATCCCAATCAGCAAGATATAAATGGTGGTCCCTGATAAACCTAGGGGAGAGAAATGGAGGGGCAAGAGACAAGGAAAATGATGACAAGACAGGATTTCTGATCAAACCGCCATTTATTATTCCTCAGAAGCTGTTATATAGCAAACGGGCAAGGGGGAAGGGAGATGTGTCAGGTCTGCTGGAATTCAGGCCTGGAGACCTCCCTAGCTGATAAGTAAATACTGGGGGTCTGTGATATTGACTAACAAAGGAAAAACTAATGTTTTCTAAAAGCCTGGTGCCTGCAGGTCTCACTAGGCTAATGTCCTAGGTCTTGAGAACTTAAGATGGCTGTAAACAAAATACAGATCTCAAAATACAGGTCTTTGTTTCCTGCAAAATGTATTGTTATTGTTGTTGCTGTTTTCGAGACAGGGTTTCTCTGTGTAGCTTTGGAGCCTCTCCTGGCACTCTTTCTGTAGATGGACTGGCCTCAAGCTCACAGAGATCCTCCTGGCTCTGCCTCCTGAGTGCTGGGACTAAAGGCGAGTGTCACTACAAATTTTTAATTTTGCAGTGTCAACACGTGAGTCTTTCACTTGAATGGTTTACCCCACTAGTCACACTATAGCTTCAAGTCAGTCAGCGGCTCTTATAAGTACCCTTTCTAGGGGGATGGACAAATGGCTCAGTGGTTAAGAATGCTTGCTGCTCTTCTAGAGGACCCTAGTTCGGTTGGAAGAACCTACATGGGTGGCTCACAAACACCTATATGTAACTCCAGTTCCAGGAGATCTGACACTTTATTCTGGTCTTCTGGTCTCCATGGGTACCCACACACATGTACACACACACACACACACACACACACACACACACACACACACACAAATAAATATATATAGTAAAATATTTTTAAGACAGAGGAATGAACAAAATACCATACTTGGTACAAACCCTTACGTTGGTGCTCATTCAGCTGTCCTATCTCCTAGATAAAGATTAGGACTAATCTAGGAGGTGAGCCTGTCAATATGTAGGCCAGCAAAGCCCATCAGGCTGCTGTGAGGGAACAGGGACTAATGATGGCCCACAGCCCCCTAGGGGTATTTACAGTAGAGCCCAAAGTTCCCACCAGTCATATGGCTGAGATACATCACAGTGCTTCTCTTTGCTTTAATGAATCAATTAGGGTACTTATTTAAAAAAAAAACCCACCAGAATGCTGTGACTTTTAATAAATATCACATAGACTGTCCAGCACTGAGCACAAACCCCATCTGAATTGCAAGCAAAGCTGTAAACCACGTGAGTGGGGAACCACTGCCACCTTCTGCCCACATAGCTAAATTGCAATTCCAAGTTTGGGTGAGACAGTAATGTACCTGTGTTCGCCATGGACAGTTACTATAAAATGATAGAAAATGCACCTCGCTTGCTGTGCCAGGGATGGGAGAGAATATGCATTGCTAGCGTTGGCTTTGGATTTGCCCCTCTCACCTCACCTTAGCTGTCCCAGACCCAATCTCATGTGTTCTCTGCACCTCTTGGCAGGATTGGAGGCGCCATTCCTACCGTGTTCTCCTACTTCGCTGAAGTCCTAGCCCGGGAGAAGCGGGGTGAGCACCTCAGTTGGCTCTGCATGTTCTGGATGATTGGTGGAATCTACGCGTCAGCCATGGCCTGGGCCATCATCCCACACTACGGTAAGGGACCGGCCATGTTTCAGCTTCCCTCTCCATCCGTTTCCTCTCTGTGCTGAGCTCTGGCTTGGGGACAGGGCTGTCCTCGTCAGGTGTCTGCCACTCATAATGCTCAGGAGGTGTTCCTCTCTGTGGGGAGATCTGTATGAAGTATGACCATGTCAAATGGTCCTTTGGGCATGTGGATAGAAGAAGCAGGACTCCTGTGCTGCTCTTGCGCAGTAAGAGTTGGTGGTCACCCCATCCTCCACTTTCCCCATAGCTGCGATTCCTTCAGGCTAACTCATCTCTGACACTGCCTATCTAGGTTCAGAGTCAGGTCCCACAGGTTGAGGATTCGATCCCGCACGACTGACCCGTTTCTGATGCTTCAGATGCCAGCTGCAAGTCCAGGCCTCCTCTGAGTGACCAGCTAGAAACTGGAGCTTTCCACAATCCTCCTCCTCAGGTGCAGCTGGTTTCTATAATGGCTCATAGATCTCAGGGAAATGCCTACATTGAATTTCCCAATTTATTATCAAGGATGTTACAGAGAATACTGACATATAAGGGGAGCAAAGAATCACACCTCCAGGTTCACCATTCTCCATGCGTTCAGCAGCAGGGAGCTTCCAAATCTCATAGTTCATGGGTATGGTCACTTAATAACCCAGTCTTTAGCCAGAGGATGGGGTACATAACTGTGGTATATCTTTCTGGTGACCCACTCTACACAGGAACACGTCAAAGCTAGGCTCATGTAAACAGAGTCATTCCTATCTCCTAGATAACTCCAGAGGGTGAGGTCTCTGTGTTGTGAGCTGAGAATGAAGTTCCGCCACAGTTGCTACCAGGAATCACAATAGTACAGTCGGTGTCAACATCCGCCACAGTTGCTACCAGGAATCACAATAGTACAGTCGGTATCAACATCCGCCACAGTTGCTACTAGAAATCACAATAGTACAGTCAATGTCAACATCTTTTTCTTCTGTTGCCCTCACTCTCCTGTATTTGCTGTAGCTATCGAGCCTGACTTAGGGTTGAAGTCAGATTCCTACAATTCAGGAGGGACACAGACACTCCACAGGACATTATCCGGAGTGCTAACTCCACCAACGGCGTTTATAGAGATGTGACTTCCCACCTCTCTTGAAACTGTCATACACTTCAGATGCACACAGGCGTCAGTCCTGTGTCAGCCAGGCCCTGTCTGTCTGGGGAGAGGAGCAAGACTGCGTCTCACAGACCGTGATCTGCAGCACATAAGCGGCGACACTGCCTAGCCACTCTCCAGACCCTGTCATCTGTTTCTCCTCAGCCATTGCCACACCTGCTTCCATGAGCAGTGAAAGTCCCCGTTCTGAGCAATACTCTCAATCTCAGAAAACACAAGCTTCAAGTTGCTTCATCTACAAACAGTGAAGTACAGAAATCAACAAGAATCAAACTCAGTGTGCAGGAAGAAGGAAAACTAACTCCCCTTCTTTCTTCCCTCTCTTTCTCCCTCCCCCCATCCTCCTCTCCACCCCTTTGAACAAGCTAATGCTTGTAAAATAGAAATATTGTATAAATTAAAGCTACACATGACTTCAGACTGGGGGACCAGGGATGTGTCTCAGTAGCAGAGTGCTTGTCGGACAAGCCCAAGGACCTGGATCCAGACTCCTGCATTGAAAAATAAACAAAAGCATGGCCTACTCTTAGTTCTTAAAATCTGATAAACCAGACCAAATTAGATTACTTTTTAAATCCACTTGCTTGTTTTCTATTCTTATTTCTTTTGAGAACAGTACAATTTCTGATGATAAAGCATAACTTTGAGAGGTCTCCAGCACACATAGACAGATGTAGGTATCCCAAGGTGCTGTTGTTTGCTTTGTCATATTGAGCACAGATATTGTGTTGTCTCAGTCTTCCTTCTGATAAACCTAAAAAGTTATGTAAAGGCCAAAACCGTATTTAAAAACAAGAACAAAAATCAAGACAAGGATTGTCATGGTCTGTAGAGAGCTTCCCTTTGCTGAGTGCTGAAGTTGTGAATGGCGTTCTTGCCCAAGTGATTTCCAGTTGATTCTGGGCCAAAGGTGCCTTCGTGTGGCCAGTTCCTCCAGAACTGTCTTCGGTCACCATCCAAAAAAGTAGAGATTGTTTCCTTCACCTGGGACCTCAGGACCTCAGCCACCCTCAGAACCTTAGATTGTAGAGCAGCGTTGAGTCCAGGCCCCTCTCAGCTCAGATTAACATGGAAAGAAAGACCCCTGAGAGGTTACTCTGTGGGAACTAGAGAAAGCAAAATGTAAACGCAGACCTTCTGCCAAGTCCAGCCTTACTCGCCATGGTTCTCAGAGCTACTGCTGGTCCACTCACACACAGCCTTTTTAGCCATTAAAGTAAGGTGCTTGTGGCCAGTGGGACGGCTCAGCGGCTCAGCATATGTATTGCTTTTGCAGAGGACCTGAGTTCAGTTGCCAGCACCCACATCAGACAGCTCGCAACTGCCTGTTAACCCCAGCTGCAAGGGTACCCAGCATCTCTGGCCTCCATGGACACTGGTGGCACTCATGTGCACATACCCTCACCACAAACAAACACATACAAGTAATTAAAAATAATAGAAATAAATCCTTAAAAAGTAAGGTGCCCTCTGGGTGGGCAAAATTATAGCTCCATTCATCATTTTTGCATGGGTTCCAGGGAGATTGCCCTCTTTCTCTGTCTCTGTCTCTGTCTCTGTCTCTGTCTCTCTCTCTCTCTCTCTCTCTCTCTCTCTCTCTCTCTCTGTTTCACACTCACTCTCCTCTTTCTCTCTTCCCTTCTCTCCCTCCCCACTGCTCCCCCTTAACCCTCTCTAAGCCAGTCTTCTCCTTTGTCCTATTCTCCCATGACACCCCCTTTCCTTGGCTATAGCCAAACCTCTCTGGAACTCCTTAATTCTTGGGTTTATGGCAGATCCCTTCCTGGCCCTCCATTCCCATTGTATCACTCAGGGTCTCATCTGCTGGCCATGCAGCTGAGGCCATGTGTTGACTTCTGCAAGCTGTTCATTGCTTATCTTTTGCTTTCCCTGCTAAGGATTCAGCTCTTCTGATTTGCCCTTGCACTTCCCTGTCTTGCAATTGTGCATGGCCTGATGGCCTGAGAACCTTTTTCTTTGCCATGCATCGGTGCCCAACACACAGGAATCAGCGTGTGTAAGCTCTGCCATTTTAATATTAAAAAGGACAAACTGATCCATCCACAACTAACCCGCCTATCAAAACTAATCCATCTCTAACTAATCCACTAACCCGCCTATCAAAGCTAATCCATTTCTAACTAACCCGTCTCTGACTGTCATGGTAGAAGGTCACAAATCACAAAGCCACTTGTGAAAACTGAGAATGCAGCAAAATGAAATGTCTGGGCTGACTTTAATTTTGATGATGTGGGTGGGACCTTGAGAAGTAACGACCTCGGCACGGCAGTAAAGCAGTCACGGAATATTAAAATCTTGGGGCCGTATTTTCCTGAAGTCTTTCCATGGCCATAAGTGTAGAGCCAACAACATATCACTTCAATCAGCCCTGTCTGCAGGTTAGAACCAGCAGGGGGAATTCTTGTGAAACACCCTTTCTGGAGTCACTGCTGTGCTCTTGGATGGTAGAGTCTTGTTTGTTTTTTCAAAGTTAAAATCGAGACGCTCCTATGATGAGGTGTCTGCCAGTGAGGCTGCTGTCCTATGGGTGGATTCTTTCCAGTGTGCTCCTTCCCAGAATCCCCTAGCCAGGTGCTTAAGAATTGTCTACATCTATGGAAAATATACTTTTCTGGAAATGTTTTCAGTGAGTTTTCTACTTCCCACAATCAAATCAGATCCTCCAGGCTAAGGACTCAGTGCTGTCTTTATTCTTATTCTTTTTAGCATAAAGTAAGCATGACTGACAAATACAAATTATATATAGTTGGTGTTCACAACCTATCTTTATATACATGCAAGATGGCTCAGCCAATAAAAGCTCTTGTCATGATCTGAGTTAGAGCCCTGGAACCCACATGGTGGAAAGAGAGAATTGACCAAAGCTACCCTTGAACCCAGCATGGGCACCAAGGTGCACTCACATCTACAGACGCACACACCATAAGGTAAATAAATAAATGCAAAAGGTAGTTTTAGAGAAAATAGAGCATTAAATGTTTAGGGGAAAACTTTATATTTTCACTGGAAATTCTGTTTTGTATGAATGATCCAGAAGCCCAGGAGCAGGTCATTTGCTCCTCCTCCGCTTCTCCATCCTCTCTCACTGAGGAGATGTTTGAGGACCGCTATTCTTGTAGGGCTGTGTATGGATGCATTTGAGAGCACAGCACAGTGACCTGAAGTTTGGTGTTGGTTTTCTCAGATGGGGGGAAAGTGTGGATAATCGGCTTCCACATCACAGATATGCTTCAGGCGGATGAGTGCACACACGAGGGTGGCTCATGCACACAAGGCTCTCTTGACGGCCCCCATGCCAGGTGCTTCTTTCCTGCCTACGGGGCACAACCACCAGTAGGGAGCCTGAGCCTGATGTCACTGAGTTGCGGTGGCTCCACACAAGTCTCCAAGGCAAAGCAGCCCTTATGTTTGGTCCAAGGATTCTGAAAGGATTCTTGAGCAGTTAGATACACCACCAGGGGTTTTGATGGCTTCATGGCCTGGTGAGTTAAGACACAAGCTGCTAATGGTAGGAGCTAATGCTAGGAGCTAATGCTAGGAGCTAATGTTGGGAGCGAATGCTAGAAGCTAATGCTGGGAGCTAATGCTAGGAGCTAATGCTGGGAGCTAATGCTAGGAGCTAATGCTAGATAATGGGATTGGCCTAGTTTTTGTACCAGCATCAGATAATGATGGCACTTTCCCTCACATTATCAGTCTTTGGTAAAGTTGAAACCTTACCCAGAGATGGGCAGTTGCTAATATCTGAAGGTTTCCAGCATAAAATCTCACGCCTATAATCCTAACGCTAAGCAGGATGAGACAGAAGGATTTCCGTAAGTTCAAA